ACACTTAGGGTTTGTCAGGTACTGAGTTAGTCTCGTCTTGCAGGCTTTCTGCATGATCTGGAGCCACCCCTAGCTAGGGCATGGCTTTGGGCAGCCGAGTGACACGACCCCTACTCTTTTTCAGTTTCTGCAGCTCACTGGCTGGTGTGAATCCCAGGTAGGGGCACAGCCCTGCACAGTTTGAGCCGCTATCTGGTCTTTGGTCCCTCAACAGCTCCTCTGGCTGTGTATTATTTATGGGTAGACTGTCCACTTGCCCTACGATCATGTCATTGGCAATGTTACCCAGGTTGCAGGCACCTTGTTGTAGAGCAGAAATAGCCCCACCAAGGGTTGGGGGCTCTGGTTTCCTGGCCCTGGCCAGCTACCAAGTAGCTGTGTGATATTTAACAGGTGGCCTTGCTTCTCTGGGCCCTCCTTTGAAAAATGAGGGGTTGAACTGGATGGCCTGCAAACCTCCTTCCGCCTTCTACCTCTGTTGCAACCAGCGCAAACATCCGGGTGCTTTTGTTCCTTCCTGAGGCCGATTGTGGGCTGGCGTGGAGTGGAGTGAAGGCCATGGCCGTGGCCTCAACAGTGGCCGGCCTCTCCACCCTCTCCCCCTTTGTTGATGACACCGTGGGAACCCACTTATCAAATCCATTCACGAGCAGCCTTTTAACACTCTCCCCATAGTGCTGTTTCCGTGAAAGCCATTAGTGTTCATGAGTCATGAAGATATTTCACCTTTTTCCTGTGTCACACTGTACAGCTCCAGCCTGGTTCTGCTAACATCTCCTCCTCAGCGCTGTGTTGGGCAGGCCTCAGCTCTCTGGTTTGCTAACTGGGTTTCTCTGCCGTGCGTGAGCCCCGCGGGGCCGTGTGTTCACTTGGGGAGCCCGGGAGTGTAGGGCCCTTATTCAGATAATGTATTAATACCAGGGCCTGGGTCCTTTGTTGGAGTTTGAAGGTAAAACCTAGTTGGCTGGGCTAAAGATTTCTAGGTATCATCTTTCATATGATGGTGAGAGCCAGATATAGCCTGCTCTCTGATTTTCGAGGTCGCCTGTTCCTGTTAGGAGGCTGGGAGGTAGTCTCTAAGTTAAGCCTCCTCGGTTAGACATGGGTGTGAGCTCTTGGATGCCTCCTGTGCTCCATGGTGCCTGGTGCCTGACACCCTCTGCTCCGAGAACTCTTCCCTAAGAAACCTTGGACTAATCACTCTCTTTCCAACATTCCCATGTGCTTTACACCGGTCACTTGTCACTGTCTGTCTTGAATTGGAGTTTGTAATGAATGTGTCTGTTTACCCGACTGAGTTGGAACCCTTTATGTGGTGTGAACCCCTCCTCCCCAGAACTCAGCGCCCAGGAGATGCCTCATCAATGTCCAGCGGCTCGTGTCCTGCTGGGGGGAGGAGTGTATGATGGCATGCTCCCCTCTCCACATTGTGTGCACCCGCCTGGTCCTTCTTTGTGTGTGTGGGTTTAGAAAATGTTTTATGAAATGCCTTAGAAAGAGGCCATGTGCTTTGGGGTTCTTTAGGAAGCCCCAAAGTTGTTTCCTTGGGCTTAACAGTTATAAAATAGGCTGTGAGCAGCCTGAAAGAAGTTGAGGGAGATCTGACCAGTCTATGCAGGCTGCTATAGTCATGTCTATCCGGTTTACAGAATAGCCCAGCTGTGTGGAGGGGAAGATGTGTTATCATTTAGGTTTAGATTTGGCTGAACATAACAGAAAACCCCCAAATAACACTGGCTTGAATATGAGACTTTATTTTCTCTGTCATGTAAAAAGTCAGTTCAGGGCAGGGACCTAATTTACTGTTCCTTCATCCTTAAGAGAGTTGCCTCATGATCCAAAAAGGCTGTTGCAGCACCAGCTGTCATATTAATATCACAGATGGAAAGACAAAGGAGCTCTCCTGAAAGTCTCACTCAGTATCTATTTATATCTCATATAACTAAAAGTTAGTAACAGGAGTACTAGCTAAAAGTTAGCAACAAGGTTAGTAACGGGTACAAGCCTCACTCAATATCTATTGACATCTCATTAACTAAAAGTTAGTGACAGCTGGGAAGTAGGTTTTAGCTGGGACATTGCCTCACCTGGAGACATGGGGGCTCTATTTCCAAGAAAGATGCAGTGAATAGACAGTACAGAACACGTGTCTAGCACTTACTTGAATGAATGAATGAGTGAGGGGATAAGTGATGGAGAGATGCCATCTGGGTTAAATGTATACCAAACCCTCATATTAGCAGGATCCACAATATGACAAGGAAAGCACATTTCTGATACCACAGAGGGACAGAGCCTTGAGGAAACTGCAGAAACTCCCCAGGGACTCAAAAGAGAGCACGCTCTACAGGGCACTTCAGATGGGCATCCTCTTTTCCCTCTTTGTAGGGAACTGGTTCCCTTATTTGGAACACAGCAGATGCATAGCAGCGGGTCAGGAGGGGCTGGGCCTGGGTCACGGCAGCCACATTTCAGAAGGTTCCCATGAGGGCATCTGTTTTTGGCTTGTCTGAAGAAAGAAAAGCTTCATTACTCAAGCAGGGAGACGTGGCTGAATTGAAATACTAAAATTTCCTTAAATACAGATCCCTTCTTAGAAAATGTTAGAATCCTGTGGGGTTAATTATGGTCTGATGGTCCTGGTTTGAAGCCTGTAGGTGGTCTGTGGTTCAGCATGGGGCGGCTTCTCAGTGCCAGGTGCCCTCCAGCACGTCTGGGCAGGTGGAGGGCCCCCGAGGGCTGTCCTTACACTGGAGAAGCATGGTGGACCTGGAGCTCGGGCTCTGGAGCAGTGAGTGTGCTGCTGACAGCAGGTGGTGCTGTCTTCTCAGTGGTTTGTCCTAGAGGGCGGCCCCTGGTCCCCACTGTGTCCCTGAGGCACACCTGTGTGGTCCCAGGGCCACACAGTGGGTCTGCAGCAGGCAGGTCCCCTGGTTGAAGCTTTAGCCTGGCATTCATTCACAGCCTCTGTTCTTGACTTCCCCCCCC